CCCCCCCCCCCCCCCCCCACGGTCCCCCTCCCCCCCCCGGGGGGGGGGGGGGCCCCCGCGGGCAACGAAAGGTTTTTGTCCGAGATAGTGTAAACTTTATTTTAAATAATTACCTTCTTACTGTTCTTTTAAATTTTTGCGAGGGTACGCACCCCCCCAAAATTCAGGTCTCTGGGTCCATTGTGGGACACTCGAAAATATGAAATTTCTCTTCATTCTTCAATACTGTTCAATTGCTGCTTTGGATAATGTGAATTAAAAATTCTCAGCGAATCTCGAATGAATATTATTAAAAAAAACGTCATCGTTCTTACTATTAAGATCCTAACAGATTCTTACTCAATCTTGACAAAATCTTAGACAGTATAATCTTAGTAAGATTTATCCAAGGTCTTAGCAAGATTCGATTAAGTCTCTGACTGGAGATACCCATATTTTAGGAAAATTTCAGTGAATACATAAGAAATTGAGAACAGAGTTTCATATGATAGTTTTACGGCATTCACCAGTATAAATGAAAACATTGTTTCACCTTTCTACCGATTCTCAATCGTAACAGAAAACATTTTTATTCATTATTTGATCCGAAATTCTGACCTAAAGATTGTCGTCACATAGAAAGATCTGTAAACGCAATGTAGTAGGTTAAGAGCTATAGATATGCTAATGCTGAGTTGTTTTCCTTGTCTCAGTTTGTCCAATGATCTCCTGGAGCCATCATTTTTTTTAAAAATGCATTTTAGCGTCATACCTAAGTGTATTCGTTGTATAAGTGTAATTAATCAACGGCGAGATAAATTATTGACTTTTTTGTTTTTTTATGGGTTATTTTTATAGCTGGAACAAAAAAAGTTGTTGGACATTATAAGTATGTTCACAACTAACAATGATCTTACGCAAAACGACATTGTAACAAATAAAAGTAAATACATAAATAAAAGTAGACAAATTATAATTAGTAAAACAAGCTATAAAGTGTCATAAAATCAATATATCTAACTTCATCTAATAAAATGTAGCAATTACGGTAAAAAGAATTTCTATCTATTAAAAATCTCATTTATTTTGATGCCAACAATTTGTACATATCAAGCATACACACAATATAAAATAATAAATCGCGTCTTATATTTTA